TTGTACATGATGCGTACATATCATTGGTTCATCCATGAACTTCTTAGTTTGTTTTTAAATTTGGTTTTTTATTTCTTTAATTTTTATAAGACATGTGTTGACTACCTGTGAACTCTCACATAACCTGTGAAATAAGATCATTGACAATAATTTATATATAGCTATGTCTTCTTTGCCTATCTTTTCCCCTACCTTCCATACAGAGGTAACCACAATTCTGAATTTTGTATTTATCATTTACTTGATTTTTATTTTTAAATGTTATCTCATTATTACATACATAAGCCCATATCTATCTTAGTGATTTATCATTCATTTTGGCTATCTTTGAACTTTATAAAAATGTTATTAGGTATAATGCTCATGTTGTCTTCTGGGACTTGCTTTTTTTCTGTTATGCAATTTTAAAACAATTTATTTTTATTTTTTTAATTAATGAACATTTGAGTTGTTTTCAGGTTTTTCATTGTTTGAAAAATGTAAACATTCTTATACTTATTATATTCATGTACATGATTTCTTTTGTGATTAAATATTGCTGGATCATAGGTATGTACAACTTTAGTTAAGATTTTGCTAGTTTTTCAAAGTGATTGTATTAACTTAGGTTTCCACCAGGGATATGTAATATTTTTTGGTCCCATATCCTTTTTAAAATTTGGTTTTAAAGAACACTACTTTGCCTTTTAACAGTTTAGTTGGTTTGAATTCAGTTACCATACTATTTTGTTCTCTGTAGCACCGTTCTCAGTTTTTCTTCCCTTTTTGCCTCCTTTTTGCATTGAGTCTTTTTTTAATCATTCTAATTTTTTTTCTCCCATTAGATCAGAATTTCCTACTCTATTCCTGTCATTTTTGTGTTTACCATGACATTGTCTACATGACAACTTATCAAAGTCTTACATAAATTGATTTTTTTTTTTTTGATACCATGTTTCACTTTGTTACCCATGCTGGAGTGCACTGCAACCTCAAATTCCTGGGTTTAGGCAATCTTCCTGCCTAAGCCTGCTGCATGGTTGGGCCTATAGGCATATGCCATCATACTCACACACACACACACACACACACACACACACACATTATTATTATTATTTTTAGAGTCAGGGCATCACTGTGCTGGCTAGTAGTTTGGTCTCGAGCTCCTGAGCTCAAGTGATCCTCCCACCTAAGCCTCTCAAAGTGCTAGGATACAGATGTGAGCTACCATGCCTGGCCTTACATTAATCTACCTTCATCCAAGATAATAAAAACACTGTAGAACACTTTAAATTTGCTTTCCTGACTTATGCTAATATTGTCAAGTATTATAATTCTGTACAGTTGAGAATAGAGCCCATAAGACTCATGATTTTTGTTTTATAGCCTCACTTTTCATTTGTGTTTACTGTTTTCTTTGTTCAGTATTTCATTTTATATCTCTGATCTTGCATCTGGATTATTTTCCTTTTTCCAGAAGTATGTGTATGTATTTTATTATTTATAATTTTTAGTTGGGAGTCTCATTCTATTGTTCAGGCTGGTATGCAGTGGCATGATCACAGCTTACTGCAGCCTTGACCTGCTGGGTTCAGGTGATCCTTCTGTCTCAGCCTACTAAGTAGCTGGGGACTACAAGCACATGTCACCATGCCTGGCTAATATTTAAATTTTTTGTAGTGCTGAGGTCTTGCTATGTTACCTAGAGTGTGTGTGTATTTTTTGTGTGTCAGGGTCTCTACTCTGCTGCCCAGGTTGGAGTGCAGTGGGCATGCTCACAGCTACCGCAGGGCTCAGGTGATCCCTTCTGCCTCAGCCTTCCAAGTAGCTGGAACTACAGGTGCATGCTACCACACCTGGCTAATTCTTTTGATTTATTGTAGAGATGAGGTCTCGCCAAGTTGCTCAGGCTGCTCTTGAACCCCTGGACTCAGGCAGTCCTCTTGCCTCTGCTTCCCAAAGTGCTGGGATTACAGGCATGAGCCATCACACCCAGTTTAGAAGTATATTTTTAATAGTTTACTTAGCTGTAGTCTGTAAGTTCATGAACTCTTACAGTTTCTGCTGAGTCAAAAAATTATGTTTACCTTTGTTCTGGAAGAACATTTCAGGTGAGTATAGAATTTTTAGGGTGGCAGTTGTTTTGTTTTCCTCATTAAATTGGTAATAGTGTGTTTTTTGTCTGGGTTCCATTGTTGCAGTTAAGAAGCTGTTTATTAATGGAACTGTTGCTCCTTTGAAGGAGATCTGTTTTTATTTCTCTGGCGGCTTTTAAAAGTTTGCCTTTGGTTTTCTGCAGTTTTTATTTCATTGTGAGTGTGGATTTCTTTTTATACTGCTTAGAATTTGTTAGGCTATTTTAATCTCTGCAATGATGTCTTTTATTGTTTCTGGTACATTTTCAGCCATTGCCTCTGAAACTGTTACCTCTGCCTCATTCTCCTTATAGGACAAGTTTAGTTGCACTTGTGTCAGACTTTCTTATTAGATTCTCTGTGTCTTACTCTTTTTAAAATTATTTTTGTCTTTCCATGCTGCATTCTGAATAGCTGCTTTTGGCTTTTGCTATGTTTTGATGTTTGTCCCTCCTAAAACTCATGATGAAATTTAATTGCCATTGTAACAGTATTAAGAGATAGGACCTTTAAGAGATGATTAGAACATGAGGGCTAATCCCTCATGGGTAGGATTAATGCCATTACAAAAGGGTGAGTTTGGTTCCCTCTTGCCCTCTCTTTTCCTTCTGACATGTAATGACACAGTAAGAAGCCCCTTGCCAGAAACTGTTGCATTGATGTTGGACTTCCCAGCCTCCAGAACCGTAAGCCAATACATTTGTATTCATTTTAAACCACCCAATCTCAGGTATTATTTTAAAGCAGCACAAAATGAACTAAGACAGCCTACTTTTGTATTTGGTAATTCTCTCTTTAGCTATGTCTAATCTTTTTTTTATTTTATTTTTTGAGTTGGAGTCTCACTCTGTTGCCCAGACTGGAGTGCAGTGGCTGGCCACCGCAACCTCAACCTACTGGGCTCTGGCGATCCTTCCGCCTCAGCCTTCCAAGTAGCTGGAACTACAGGCGCGCGCTACCATGCCCAGCTAATTTTTGATTTATTGTAGAGATGAGGTCTCGTCAAGTTGCCCAGGTGGGTCTTGAACCCACGGGTTCAGGCAGTCCACTCACCTCGGCCTCCCAAAGTGCGGGATTACAGGCTGAGCCACCGATCCTGGCTGGGGGGGCGGTTCTTTAAAAAAATCTGCTGTGCTCTGTTCACAGTAGCAAAAACATGGAAGCAGCCATGCTGTCCATCGAAGCTGGACTGAATTAAAAAAATGTGGTACATGTACACAATGGAATATTATGCAGCTATAAAGAAGGGCAAACATATGGATTTCATACCAACTTGGATGGATTTAGAATCAATCATATTCAGTGATCTATCACAGAAACCAAGAACAAAGTACCATATGTTCTCATTTATAAGCGGGCCTTGAACAATTATCGTAATACTATAAGAAAGGGATCGGCAGTATCGGGAAACTGCCAGGGGAGGGGGCACACTTCATCAACAAGGGTACCTGCATAATGAACATTTGTTTACCTAACTTGAATTGTACCCCATATCTTAAAAAAAAAATCTGAGCCGGGCTCGGTGGCTCAGCCTGTAATCCCGCGCCTTTGGGAGGCTGAGGTGAGTGGATTGCCTGA